CAACCTCCAACTCTTGGGCTTAAGTGATTCTCTTGCCTCAGCCTCCCAAGTAGCTGGGACTACAAGGCACCTGCCCAATGCCTGGCCATTTTTTGTTGTAGTTGTGATTGCTGTTTAGCTGGCCCAGGCCGGGTTTGAATCCGCCAGCCTGGGTGTATGTGGCCAGCACCCTACCCACTGAGCTATGGGCACTGCCCTATTTTGTCTTTCTTATATTCACTCTACCAATGGGCAACCTCAGTTCTGTAACTTCTGATGAATTAAAGGAACTAGGCAATGATCATCTATGGCTGCTAACTTCACAAAAAGTGAACGTGATATGCTATGATGTCCCTTCTGATGAAAAAACACACAAACACTCACAAAGCTATTTTGCTGCATAGCCCCCTTAAAGAATCTAATGAAACTTCTAGATCTAATTACTAATTTATAAGAAATGCAAAGCAGATGTACTTGACACCCTGGAACAAAATCACCAAAATCTAAACTATGGGAAATTTACAGGACCCAAAACATAAAAATAAAACCCAACATTTACTCCTGATTTAAAGAACACTTAGTATTATAGCTTTAATGAGACATATATGTGTGTAACAAATCAAAGGCAGCTTCATGATTACTGATTAAATAGCAGAAGCATTCCCAGGAAACTTTAAGGAAAAAGAAAACATTGTTTTTTGATACCAGTAATATTTGAGATTGTTCTGAAAGTGCTAGCTAAAGCAATCAGAAAAGAAAAAAAAATTACAAGATGTAACGAAGAGACAAAATTATTATTACTATTTTTTTTTTAGAGACAGAGTCTCACTTTTCTCACCTTTGGTAGAGTGCTATAGCATCACAGCTCACAGCAACCTCCAACTCTTGGGCCTAGGTGATTTTCTTGCCTCAGCCTCCCAAGTAGCTGGGATTACAGGCACCCACCATAACACTCGTCTATTTTTTCATTGAAGTTTGGCCAGGGCCAGGTTTGAACCTACTACCCTTGGTATATAGGGCCAGCACCCTACCCACTGAGCCACAGGTGCTGCCCAGAGGCAAAATTATTACTTGAAAATGATATGATTAATTTGGGAGAACTCAAGAAAATACAATAGAACCTCTGTAAGTTGACCACCCAAGGGACTGTGACAAACTAGTCAACATACAGAGGTGATCAACATAAGGAACTAGGTCTACTGTACTGATACATACATGTGGTGCATATCTGATCTAAGAAAAGTAGGTCCACTTAAAGCAGGGGGTCCTCAAACTTTTTAAACAGGGACCAGTTCACTGTCCCTTAGACAGCTGGAGGGCTGGACTGTGGGCCCCGGGATGAGTCAGCTGCTAAGCAGGACAGGCAGCAGCAGCAAAAACACCCGGCGGGCCAGATAAATGTCCTAGGCGGGCCTCATGTGGCCCATGGGCCGTAGTTTGAGGACACCTGACTTAAAGAGTGGTCAATGTAGGAAGATAGTCAACTATGGGGGTTCTATAAAATGAAGCTATAAAGAACAATGAAAGAAGTCTGTAAATACCTGGTCTGTAAATTAATATATAAAAATCAACAGCTTTGCTATAGACAATAGGTCTGAAAACTGGCCTGCTGGCCAAAGGCAGCCACTGACCGTTTTCACATATAGAATTTTATTGCAACATAGCCATGCTCATTCATTTAGGTATTGTCTACCACAGTAAAGTTGAATAGCTCTGAGAGAGACCGCATATGGTCCACAAAACCTAAAATAATTGACCCTTTTACAGAAAAGGTTTACCAACTCCTGCTATAGCTAAATGATCAGTAGAAAATAAAATGGAGGCTCAGCGCCTGTGGCTCAAGTGGCTAAGGCGCCAGCCATATACACCTAAGGTGGCAGGTTCGAATCCAGCCCAGACCCACCAAACAACGACGGCTGCAACCAAAAAATAGCCGGGCATTGTGGCGGGCACCTGTGGTCCTAGCTACTTGGGAGGCTGAGGCAGGAGACTCGCTTGAGCCCAGGAGTTGGAGGTTGCTGT